CTTTTCTTTGGGATGGTTTTTGTTGCTGCCTCCTGTACAATGTCACGAGCCTCTATCCAAAGTTCTTCAGGCACTCTGTCCACCAAATCGAGTTCCTTAAATCTCTTCTTCACTTCCACTGTGTATTCATAAGGGATTTGGTTTAAATTATACCTGAGTAGCCCAGTGATTTTTCCTACTCTCTTCAGGTTAAGCTTGAATTTTGCTATGAGAAGCTGATGATCAGAGCCACAATCAGCTCCAGCTCTTGTTTTTGCTGACTGTATTACAGCTTCTCCATCTTTGGCTGCAGAGAACATAATCAATCTGATTTCAGCAATGCCCATCTGGTGATGTCCATGTGTAGAGTCGCCTCTTGTGTTGTTGGAAAAGAGTGTTTGTGATGACCAGCTTATTCACTTGACAAAACTCTATTAGCCTTTGCCCTGATTTATTTTGAACTCCAAGGCCAAACTTTCCTGTTGTTCCTTTTATCTCTTGACTCTCTACTTCAGTATTCCAGTCCCCTATAATGAGAAGAACATCTTTCTTTGGTGTCAGTACTAGAAGGTGTTGTGAGTCTTCATAGAATTGGTCAATTTTAGCCTCTTCAGCATTGGTGGTTGGTGCATAAACTTGGATTACTGTGATGTTGAAAGGTTTGCCTTGGATTCTTATTGAAATCATTCTATCATTTTTGAGATGGTATCCTAGTACAGCTTTTCCCACTCTTTTGTTGACTGTTTCCACTCTTTTTTGCAAACAAGTGGAAACAATTTGTGTGAATTAATAATGCGAACAACTGTTTTCTGAATATTGAAACTCCAAGACTATAATCTGTCTGACATTTCAAAAGTTCAGTGTACATTCACACAAGCATTACTCAGGTATACAAGTAAAGGGTTGAATATAGATATGAAAAATTGATGAGAAGTTTCTGGGTTCAGTTTCCTGAGAAAGAGGTAACTTGACTGACTGACTGACTGACTGACTGACTGACTGATTGAAAACATTTTTACCCCAACTTTCTCCCTAAAAAGAACCCAAGGTGGCTTACATCAGTAGAAGGCAATAGTTAGAAGCTAAAAACCATAAGTACACAAGTATTACAAAAGAATTAAACAAATACTGTACCACATTAAAACAGTTAATCAACCCAAAAAAAACACCTACCAAGCAAGAAGGCACACCAATCAAATTAAAAACCCACCTCAGACACCCAGTTACTAAGGAAAAGCCTGCCTGAGCAGAAAGGTCTTTGTTTGATTGTGGAAGATAAGCAAAGTTATGGCCAGCCTGACCTCCAGTGGGAGGGAGTTCCAGAGTCTGGGAGCAGCAGCAGAGAAAGCTGTTCTTTCCCGTGTCCCTACCAAACCCATGTGTGAAGGTGATGGGACCAAGAGAACTTACGTTTCTCTGATGTAAGGTGCATTTTTAAGACAGATGTAATGGCTGAGCAGAAGAGTTCATATCATTGGATTCCATGGTTTTGAACAATAATTCTCTGGAAGAACCTTGGAGTTACAAGCTGAAGAAAGCTCTCTTGAACTCTTAGGGAATTAAAGAGTCAGAAGGGGACCTGTGGAGTCATCTTGATCAACACACAACACTACAGCTAATCAAGTCTTAAGGCAGAATGAGGCAGATGTCTCAAGCCACACGGCACCTGAGGTATGAGACTGTGCTGCTTCTCTCCCCAGGTAAAAGGTAAAGGTTGTTCTTGACATTTAGTCCAGTCGTGTCTGACTCTAGGGCGAGGTGCTCATTTCCAAGCCATAGAGCGAGCATTTTTTCTGAAGATAGTTTCCGTGGTAACGTAGCCACCACGACTAGACACAGAGCGCCGTTACCTTTCCACTGAGGTGGTACCTATTTATCTACTCACATTTACATGCTTTCGAACTGCTAGGTTGGTGAGGAGCTGGGACAAGCGACAGGAGCTCACTCCATCCTGTGGATTCGATCTTACGACTGCTGGTCTTCTGACCCTGCAGCACAGAGGCTTCTGCAGTTTAATCCACAGCGTCACCACGTCCCCATCTCTCTCCAGGTAGGCTGAGTAAATGGGAATTTTTACATGGGATCAGTCAAAGACTAAAGAGGCTGTATTATAGGGTTATGACTTACTGAAGCTGGTTATTTGTTTGGTTTTGGCTCATTATTTGCTCTGTTTTCTGCTTCGTGTGTGATCAAGAGAGAAGTGAGTCACTGATTTAGTTGGAGGCAAAGCTAGTAGTTGCTGGCTCTATACCTCCCTTGAGTCCCGTCAGGTTGTGAAGTCAGTAGACACATATGTTTTCCATTGGTAAGCAGGAAGAAAGTACTGTAGAAGGAGAGAAGGTGGGAGTCTTGTGTCACCATGTACATGGAATAAATAGACATGGTGCGCAGGGAGGGAGCTGCTGCAACAACCCACAACATCTGTGCCTTGTTTGAGTTCCTCCTAGAGAATGCAGAAAGCTAAATGTGCAGCAAATGCAAGCTGGCTGCCCTGCTTTTCTCTTGAGAACCTAACTCACATGGGTGGGATGTTTTCAACAGCTAGAAATCATCAACGGTAAAAAACTATCGCAAGAGAAGGTACAGCAGTTTTAAGCCTGTGTATCCATACCTTGAGCTTATCAGGTAGGTCTATAACGTATTTCTGAGTGGTGCAGAACAGTCTTTTCTGGAAGAGAACAGGAAGAGGCAGAACAACACTAGGGAAGAGGAAAAATCATGCAGAAAGTAAGCATTCAGAAGAATGTGACATAGGAATACCTTGTTCCTTCGGGCTACATAATCAATATCAGGCTTACCCTATGGGTGTTGATTCTGAGCTGCTGGAACAGGAACAGTGGAAAACAGAGAGGTGGCCAGGAACAATTCTGTGGACTGTTGATTCTGAGCTGCTGGAACAGGAACATCAGACAGTGGAAAACAGAGGTGACCAGGAACAATTCTGTGGATGGAATTCCTGCCAAGATTCCTGTCATTTCTGCAAGGAGGAGGAAATGTATGATGGGGTTGTAGAGTATTTTGATTTCAACAAGGTTCCTTATGGCTAATTGGCAATTTTGAACCAGGCAAAACCTCAATTGGCTTATGTTTTTTGAAGACAAAAATTACTGGTGTCCTAAGAGATTTATCGTATAGCAGCCATTCTCAACCATTTTTAGGCTACGGCTATAAAATGAAAGAAAGATAGGGTGAATCAGGATTGTGTAAGTTGCATAACACACCTTATAAGGTGGTGTGCGAAGAATGGTTTCCAGTCTGTGGTTCCCTTCCAATGTGCCAGGGGGCATATGGCCCCTATTGAGAATGGGTTGATAGGGATGTTGCTTTGTGCATATAACAAAGGGAAACATGCAGACACCCTCAGGTGCTGGGGAGGCCCTCCAAATCCAGCTAGGTGTAGTCCTTGAGGTCTGGTACCCCATGAATAGCTGACTTCCTACAGCACAAGGTTTATCACAACTTGGGCAGGCAAAGGGTTTCTATAGCTTGGCCTCTTTACATTAAAACTGGAAGAGAGGAGTTGAAGACAATAGCCACCCTCTCTGTCCTCCCACCTCACACACACACAGAGGCAAGTATATAGTTGAATGAGTCATTCAATTTTTTTGGTAAAAAAAGCCTTAGGTATATTTTATTTTCCCCACCCATTTATCATATCTATATATAATACATTATTTGTATGATCTAACTGAGAATCAGTGTGCTGCTGACATCCACAGTGTAAAGTCTGTTACTAAAGAAAAATTACCTTATAAAAAAGCTAGATGATTATAAGAAAATTGATTCAAGACATCACTCAAACTGAAATCTCATAAAATCTTGGAACTAAATTTATGAACAGACATCTGAATCAAAGGGAGGGTGTCAGATACTAGAGCAAGAAAATGTAACGGAGAATGAAGGCAAAGGCTACATTTAAGGAAGGCACAAATCCCAGCAAGCTTAATGTTAATGAAAACATAGTTTTACAAACAATGTGCAGAGATCTCTGTCACAACTGCTATCTCTTGTTTTACTTGTACTGATTAGATGCAAGCCTTGTGGTATCTACAAAGTATTTGCAGGATAAACCTAATATGGTTGCTTCCATAGAAAACTGGCATTATTATAATCAACAATTCTTTGGATCAGGACAGGTGAAGATATATTTTCTTGCTGGATATCAAAATGTGCCCCAGTCACAGTTCTAGAATCCATCCATTACTAGTTAAAATGCATTGTTGCTAAAATAATTAGTCAAAGTAATGTGTTCTGTTGCAGTTGTTCACCCTAAGCAGCAAGTGCGACACCTGCATCCCAACTTTTCCCATTTGGGTCAAAGAACTGTCATTCATCTATATTGCCTTTGCTACATGCGGCTGCTTTTGAAGAGGTTCCATACGCCTCTATAGAACTGGGATGGGAGACAACGGTGTGTGGATTGCATGCCACCTTTAAGGTACTCTTTTGTGTTTTGCCTTTCCATTTTGTTGCCATTACTACCAAACTTCCCACCCGCACAAGATCTAAATTCCACCCACCCCCATCATCCCTAGTGTAGAATGAAGTCAAAAGGAGGAAAAGGAATGGCCATGTTAGTCCACTGTAGCATAACCAATGAAGAGTTTCATGGCAGCATAAAGACTACAAGTTTGACATACGGGTTGCAGTAGTAGTAGTAGCAGCAGCAGCAGTAGTTGTTAATCTTAGAACTGCAGAGCTGGAAGGAATCTTATGGATCATCAGGTTAAGAATCTGTCAGGGAGGCACAGTGGGGAACTGACCAACCTCTGGCTCAGCACCCATATACCAAACTACCGAGCTATCCAGCTGTTCTCTTTTAAAGTGTAATAGGACTGTTGTGTCCATCAAGTGCAACCATTCCAAATGCCATCTGTGCTCAGCTTAAAAGCACAGAAAAACAAGGGTACCTTCTAGGAATTCTTTTATTTAGGCTGTCTTCTCTGTGTGGGGGCAAGTCTACCAGTGAAAGAAGGAGCTATTCAACAAAAGGCAAATTTATCACTCTCTCTTGCATCTCCTGTGCATGTTCCTGTAAGATACGATGCTTGTGTAATGTGCATATGGACCAATTATTCCCAGACCTAAAAAAACAAAACAGGAAAGAAATCAAATAGGTAGGGTTATTGTGTACAGGGCTCTCTACCCAAATCTCTCATGCTGTGAGGACTATGAGGAAAAGATTGGGAGCCCATCTACACCTCCAACATAGAATAATATTTGATAGTCCAATAATGGATAAACTAAGGATCAGTTTTTCCCATCTTTTCCCCCTTGGTTCTCAGGAATCAAACTTACAGCTATGTCAGGCTTTGAACATTTGTGCACATAGATGGAGCTATATAAGTAATAACTGAAAATTTAACTCTAGACCATCAGTCTTCAAGCACTGTGGAGTCAAAAAGGTCACAGGATACTGATTTAATATGCTGAGTCAATAAAATATGATCTATGTTATTTACTCTTAACTCCATCCGCAAAATGACTAGACACCATTATATTCTGTTTAGAAATCACAAACCAAACTTTGTATTCCATATTTTACTCCGAATAATACTGCTTGCATTAGTTTCACCAAATGTATTAACGAGAAGTTAAGTAGGTCATTAATTAGATTTCATGTGTGTTAAGAGAAAGTGTGACTAATAAGATTACATGTGTGTTGGGGGGAAATGATTAAATTTAATCACATACTTCAGTTTTCTTCATTTGCTGTGAAGAGGGGAAATGAAAAGTACCTATATGTCTCATTACTTTCTTTCAGGAAATCTGAAGAAGTTTCAAGTAACCCAGATGTTCTAAGCCATGCCCCTCCGCTTGCATTTGGTACTTCAATAAAAGTAAATAAAATGAGTATTTGAAATAATCATGTGCCTGATTATTTCTGAGAAGTGCTGAGTTGCATGTACTATGCCTGCCGGCCTCAGCACACCAGCTGATATCCAAGGGGACTGTTATAGCTTCCTGGTTCTCCTAGTATGGAGACAATTCTAGAGAAGTAACATTGACTGTCTTTAGAATATGGTCACATTGTCACATCATAACAAAACAAAGGAAGGGGCCTGGAGAGAGAGACAGCAGATGCATGCACTTACAGCAAGGTAGGAAGTGGAACTCAAGAGCCTTCTTGTACAGCAGCAGCGGCTAAACTGGGGAAAAGGTCTCCCCATGGGCCAGTGTATAATTGTGTTATATACAACTTGAGGGGGCTACATGGGCTTTTAGAACTGTTGCATTGGAGGCTTTGCCCTATGTCCATCCATTCTTACACTGGCTGCCTCCCACAGCCACTGGTTGCTGCTGCTATGATGTTATTTTATTTTTTTTATTTTTTATAATCTAGCATAGCACTAGCTCTGTATGACAGATAGAAAAAAAATAAAACAGAGGTTTCTCGGCTATCTGAAACACTCCCAGACAGACAGGCAGACAGGCAGACAGACAGACAGACAGACAGACATAACACACACACACACACACACACACACACATGTGGGAAATGAGAGGGAGCAAGGGAACCAGAACTGAAATGGACTAGAGACAATGACTGGATTGGGACTTCTAGGTTTGTGGAGGAGGGACAAACACACACACACATGAGCAAGAGCGTGCACACACACACACACTGGGTTGAAAGGGAGCATGAGGGAAGGTATCTACAGAGGCAATATAGACTTCTGGAGATGTTCACATATGCCAAAATAATTCAAAATAAATCAATTATACAAGTGGTTTAAAATAAACCACCTGCTAGCAGCCAAATAAAGCACCTTGGTTTCCATCCAAAAAACATGCCTCCTGGACAAAACAAAAAAAAAACACTTCCGTGTGTAGTCAAAAAACATGCCTCCTGGACAAAACAAAACAAAAAAACCCACTTCCGTTGTGTAGTGTAGTTACCTTTAAAAAAATTGATTTCAAACATGCTAAACCCAGTTCAAATACAGGGTTTTTCTAAATGTAACCATGCTCATAATCTGTGCAAGCATATCCAGTCAAAAATACAACAAACATGCAAGCATATCCAGTCAAAAATACAACAACAAAAAACGTTGTGGCACCTTCAAGACAGTTATATTTTAATGTGAGCTGTTGTGGATACATCACCTCTCTGTCTTTCTCCTTCTGTTCACCAGTGTTTTCCTCCTGGTTCTGGGTTACCATGTTACCTGGACTTTACCTTGATTGTGACTCAGTGCTTCTATACATAGTTTTGCCTCCTCCTAGCCCTTTCTCCACACATTCACATCACAAACTCTTGCCCCACTGACATCACAAGGGTTCCACTCTGTTCTTTCTGGAAGAAAGAACATTTCAGGAAGTGGAAAGCTGCAGATCAGGCTGTGTGGCTTTGTTTTTCTGATTGGAAGTTCTAGTGTAGATTTTATTGGCTTCTTGGCATGGTTCAGACAAGCTACTCTTCTAAGCAGAGCAATTTCCTCTGTTTTTGAGTCAGTGCAATAGATCATTATTCTGAGAGCTGTACCCTGAAAATGCATTTTGAAATTAAGTCTCTTGTATTTGTTTCGATTCTGTGAAAGATTGTACAGATGCCAAGTGTACTGGTCTCAATGAAGGGCTCCACTTTTATAAAGTCTCTCAGCATTGTCAGCCTATGTCTGATGTGCTTTGTTTCAAAACTTCAAAGCTGACACACACAATCCCAGTTCTCCTGCAAGAGAGGGAAGGTGTAAACTCCTTCAGTAGCCTCCTTCTGATATTCTTCTAGGGATTATTTTATGATGCTGCTTAGAAAAAATTATCCTACTCCTTTGAGACCATACTGAATGCAGAATTTCATCCCCAAAACTCTTTGACAAAGAATTTTCAAAGCTGACGCCCTGGATCCATTTCAGTCGGGCTTCACAGCACGGAAACGGCATTGGTCGCCCTGCTGGATGACCTACTTGGGGAGGCTGACAGGGGCAAAATGTCCTTGCTCGTTCTCCTTGATATCTCAGTCACCTTTGATACCGTCGACCACGGTATCCTCCTGGGGAGGCTCTCAGAGTTGGGGATGGGTGGCCTTGCTCTCACTTGGCTCTGGTCCTTCTTGGAGGGCTGTCCCCAGAGACTGCAGCTTGAGGAGAATGTATCGGCTCCATAGTCCTTCAATTGTGGGGTTCCGCAGAGTTTGATCACCTCCCCAATGCTCTTTAACATCTACATGAGGCCATGGAGGGGGGTGTCATCTGGGGATGTGGAGCTTTGTGTCACCAATATGCTGATGACACCCAGCTCTACATTTCCTTTTTTCCATCTGTAGTGGATGCCTTTCTGTCCCTTGGGTGCTGCCTGGAGGCCGTCCTACAATGGATGCAGTCGAATGGACTGAGGTTGAACCCGGACAAAACGGAGGTCTTGCGGGTGGGCGGCCCTGATATCAATGGTTTGGGGAACTCCCTCTCTTTTTTGGGGGGGGGTGAGTCTCACCACAAAGAATTTGGTTCACAGTCTGGGGGTCCATCTTGACCCGGCGCTTACCATGGAGTTCGCGGTTCAGCCTGCCCATTTACATCTTTGGCAGATCGCTGAGCTGTGTCCCCATCGAGGCGCGGGGGCGCTCACCATGCTGGTCCATGCACTCGTAGTCTCAAGAATAGACTGCTGTAATGCTCTCAACATGGGATTCCTTTGAGACTGATGCGGAAGCTTCAGATGGTCCAGAACACAGTGGCCAGGTTATTAACAGGGGTGAAAAGATTTCACCGTATTTCCCCCACCCTCGCCGCCTTACACTGGGTACCTATCCGCTTTTGCATCGATTTCAAGGTGTTAACTATTATATATAAAGCCCAACAGTTTAGGCCCTTGATACCTGGCAGAGCGCCTTCTTCTATTCTACTCGTATGACCCGTTCCAGTCCAGCCAGGCAGCTGAGGGGCCTAACGCCAAGAGAGGCCCAGTGAGAAAAAACTAAAAATCAGGCCTTCTCAGCAGTGGCCCCTTGGCTTTGGAACACCTGCAGAGATCCGCCTGGCCCCCTCACTGAGGGCCTTCAAGACCAATCTGAAGACATGGCTATACAGACAGGCCTTCCCTACAGCCATCACCTAGCCTATTTCTTTTCTTTTTCCCTCTCTTTCTTTTTCCATCTTGGACTCTGCCATTAATTTGGATTTTACCTTTAGTTATTTTGTATGCTTTATGTAAACTGCCCAGAGTAGACATGTTCTAGATGGGAGGTATATAAGTTTAATAAAAAAATAAAATAAAATAAAATAAAATAAAAAATTATCTAACCAAGGTTATGACTACACTGGAAAGTTGAACTGAATTTGATTCACAGCCTGTACTGTGTTTAAAATTGCAGTCAGTGATCACACAGGGGTTGTGGATTGATTTGGGAGTTCACTGTTTGTAGTGGATGCAATATGATTCACATTCCAGCCACAGCTCCCCTTCTTTCCTGCCTTCCTGTGGTCCTGCCTCTACTGATCCTTCCTTCCTCTAGCCCTGCCTTTGCCAATCTGTCAGTGAACTGATGGGGCTGTAAATACAGGAAATTATAATAAAGCTGACAGGAAAACATTGATTAGTTTGAAATAAGGTACTGTAGGAGAGCTTTGCAGATATCTTGAACTGCCAGAAAGATGAACAAGTCTATCCTCAAGCAAATCAAGCTTTGGGCACACAATGAGAAGGCAAGATTCTCTGGAAAAGACAATAATGCTGGGAAAGATGGAAGGCAGCAGGAAAAATACATAATAAACATTGTTAGGGAGAAGGCTAAGCTCGAACGTCTCAGTAGAATAATGTTGTTGTTATTGTTGTTGTTTCGATTTATATACTACCCTATAGTAGTTATTGTTGTTGTTTCGATTTATATACTATCCTATAGTAGTAAAGCACTCTCTGGGCAGTTTACAACATAATTATACAACTTGTCTTCCCAGGAAGCTAGGTACTGATTTTGCCAATTTCAGAAGAATGAAAGGCAGAGTCAACTTTGAGTCAGCTACTTGAATCCATCGGGATCAAATTCAGGACGTGAGCAGAAGCTTCTGCACTATTGCAGTTTAACTACTGTACCGTGGTACTTTCCAATTATGGTACTCGCTGTTTCATTTTTCAACCTATTTGCATAATAATTACCATTTTTGGGTATTTCTATCATTTTTTCCTGCCCCATAGCATATAGTGCATCCACTACCCACTCGCCTTTGCCCACCAAGAGTGAATTGGCTCCACTGACCTCTTCAGCCTACCATGTGAAAAAGAGGCTCTTTGGTTTCCTACTCAATTACTCCAGGAACTCCTCAACAACTAAATTAGCTTTACAGGAAATAGAATTATCTAAATAAAAGAGCAGGTCTCGCTTTATAAACAAATGTCTTTGGCAGTGGGGTTTTAGCACTGAGTTGACACTCCGAGGTGTGGAACGTAATGGGAGCAATGGAAGGGAGAGATCTTGCCTGACTCATATGTTCCTATTTCCATATCCAAGCAACAACACTTGCTGGTGGTGAGAAAAATGAGGGAAAAGGCATGTTCTTCAGTATAATTGTCCCTTTTCATAAATATACCTACCAATTAATATGGAAGAGCGCAATGCACTAAGAAACAAAGTATAGCCTTCCTTTTCTAGTCACATATTTTAACTTGTCAAGTGCTTGAAAATTCTCCTATTTTTGTCAGTCTCTACTGAATTCCTACTAGTGTGCTAGCTGGTGGGCCACATATGTTCAGCGTGTGACAGATCGTGCTGGCATGTCTCAGTAAACGTAAGAAATTGTAGATATTTGAAGGTCTAACTATGTATAGCACTTCTACTTGTGAAGAAAGCCTCCCCCTGTTTTTGAATGTAGAAATTCTACAAATAAGATTGAATCCCCTTAAGCAAAACATGGTAGAATGAAAAAGCTTACATGGCAGTATAAATTTTGGCATCTTAAGCAGATATAGTAACACAGTATGTATATTTTTCTGAATTCAGGAGCTTCTCATGTACAGCAATTATATTCCCTCTTAAATTTATCTCAGATTTTGGCTTTAAAATCTGCATTGTCATTACTACCATACACTCTGTGACATCTGAATGGCCAAATTACTGTTGCCACACATGCCACAGCACTTTTGCAAGCTCTAAGATTACAAACATAAGGTGTGATACAATTTTGGACTGCTTGTGCAATATATTTCCTGACAATCATACGAAATCTGCTCCAGCCCACTCCTGGTAAGTGCCCGAAATGAACTTTTTGGTCCAGCAGCAAGGCTATTACTTTTTAGGCAGGAGTGATTCCCCAGAAGATGGAAGGTTGCTTTAAGGTATATTGCTCCCTGCAAAGTTACCCTTCCCAGTGTAATCAGATGTGCACCTTTCCAACTGTCTGATTGCACCCATAGCTTCTTAAACAGAACTCCTTCATTCCTGGCAGAAGCAATCCAGTGGTGCATCCAGAATGGAAGAATCAGCTCCCCAGGAGACACCCACTGTATTCATAGTCCTCACTTTCTTCAGGAAGGGTACATCCAGAATGGAAGAATCAGCTCCCCAGGAGACACCCACTGTGTTCATAGTCCTCACTTTCAGTACAGTACAGTACAGAAACCTTTATTGGCATGCTGCATAAATAAAACAATAAGACAATAAAATACCGGGGAAAGATTCATTACTGGCGGGAGGAGGAACCAGTCCTTCCATGGGAAATCTATCCAGCAGGTCAGAGAGTTCAAGTATTTGGGTGTTTTCTTTCACTACCGTCACTCCTGGACAACTCACCAACGGGCAGCAATCAAGTCTGCCAAGCTCTCGGCACAAGCCATTGGCTGGTGAGCGACCAAACGGCGAGAGTTCTGTCCCCAAAAGTTGGTTCTCCAGGCAAAGAGAACCGACCCTGTGCACAGTGGGATGGGCCCACTTGGTTTTGCTTTTGTGTTCTGTTCTGCTTCCAACGCCCAGAATACTCCCAAGCGCTCGCCAGGCAGAATGCTGGGAGTTCCAGTCCACAGACCCTCACTTACAGACGGCTCAGTTTTGCTCGCCTGGACCAAGGTCTGTTGACAAAGCTGCATGACTGTCTTTGGTGTGTACTTCCTGTTCTTCAGGTACGGAAAAGGAAACGGCCATGGTCCTTTCTGGGAGTCATAGTTCTTTGGGAGGTGTCCTCCATAAAATCTGAAGGACAGCATGACCACCCCAGAAAGTAGTGCAACAGCTTCCTTTTTCTTATATATACAACAGGAAGTACAGTCCTGATACTGCCGTACAGCCGCGGGGATAACCTCTAGTCCAGGTTTGCCAAAC